ATATCGAAGTATACCTTGTAGTAAAAAGAAGTAAAATGAAGGCTAGTCAGCCTTTTGAGGTTGTTCATGCTGATTTGGCTGGACCTTTTCCAGAAAGTGAAGGAGGAGCTAAGTATTTCTTTATTACTGTGGATAGATTCATATGATTCTAATTCATGGGATATAGAAAATAGCAGATGCTTTTCCTGTCATAATATCATAACTTATTCAATGGGCCTACTTTGGTTGGACTATAAATTGGATTTGATCCTAGCAATTCTAGTTTCGAAAGCAAGAGTAAACATTACTTTGTTTTTACTTGATATTTCCCTCTTCCTGGAATTGAATTTGAAATAGAAGTTGAACTCACTGTTTGAAAACTAAGGGAACCAATGTGTGGAATGGCTGAACGTGTGGCCTCCGTGTTCAACTAGGAAAATTGATGGAAAAATCCAACAATTTAGCCACTGGGTCAGGATTTTTAAATGGCTTTATCTGTGACCTGGACAAATCTAAACCTTGATTCTTTAATCTTGGGAATTTAGCTTAAAAGGATATTAAGCTTACAGACAGTCTGTCTCTGAGATCTTGAAGCTTTGGAATCTTCCAACAATGTCCATTTTATTACATATCCATCTTCAGAGACATCCCATGTGTTTTTGTTTTTTTTGTCCTTCACATTCTTTTCCTTTCACGTTTCTTGCCAACTTCCTGGCCTAAAAATGTTTTGTATTTTCCTGTTTTCTCGTATTCCTTCACCCTCTTCTTTTATCCTATATCTCATCCATGTGATACCTTCAGGAGGCTATGAAAACCAAAAATTGTATCTATGATACTTTTTACTCGTAGTAGCATCAGTCATTATATGATAATTCTGTGTGGTGAGAGCAGAACATAAACCCTACCACAATTCTAGTGCTGCACATTGTGGTATTTGGATACTATTCAGTTTGATGAAGGTAACCCATATGGTCTATTCTTTTGTCCTTGTAGTTTCCATTTGTCTCTTTATTCCTCATCAACTCTTCAGTCCCTTTCAAATGTAGTAGGTAGGTCCAGATTCTCTTGAGTTGATGGTGAGGCAAAGAACAGGCAAAAGGGGAGCAAGATGTTGTCAGTCCATAGCCTTCAATAAGTATTAAGAGTAGTCTCTAAGTTGCTTAGACTGGTGAGCAAGCTGCATCTACAATTTACTCCCAACTAGTTGCTCCTGAACACATCATGCGATGTTTGGGGCTTGACGAATGCAAGGCTGGAGTTAAAATTGCTGGAAGAAACATTAACAACCTTAGATATGCCGATGATACCACTGATGGCCAAAAGCGAGGAGGAGCCGAGGAGTTCTAATCAAGGTGAAAGAAGAAAGTGCAAAAGCTGGGTTGAAGTTAAACAACAACAAAAAAACCAAGATTCTGGCAACCAGACTGACCGATAACTGGCAAATAGAGGGAGAAAATGTGTGGGCAGTGACAGACTGTATTTCTAGGTGCAAAGATTATTGCAGACGCAGACTGCAGCCAGGAAATCAGAAGACGTTTACTTCTTGGGAGGAGAGCAATGACCAATCTCGATAAAATAGTGAAGAGTAGAGACATCACACTGGCAACCAAGATCCACATAGTTAAAGCAATGGTATTCCCCGTAGTCAGGTACGGATGTGAGAACTGGACCATAGGAAAGGCTGAGCGAAGAAAGATAGATGCTTTTGAACTGAGGTGTTGGAGGAAAGTTCTGAGAGTGCCTTGGATCCAATCAGTCCATACTTCAACAAATAAAGCCTGACTGCTCATTGGAGGGAAGGATATTAGAGATACTGATGATGCTGGGGAAAACCGAAGGAAAAAGGAAGAGGGGCCGACCAAGGGCAAGATGGATGGATGGTATCCCTGAAATGACTGGCTTGACCTTGAGGTGCTGGGGGTGGTGATGGCCAACAGGGAACTCTGGCATGGGCTGGTCCGTGAGGTCACGAAAAGTCAGAAGTGACTGAACGAATAAACAACAAAGTTGCTCCTGCTCAGCTACCAATATACTGTAAATCCACATTAAAAGTGCTGGTGGTAACATTTAAAACTCTGCATACCTTGGGATTGCAGTAACAAGGAGCACCCTATATACCCCCACCAGAAAATTGAGGTTTCTTGAGAAGACACTTCTTTCCTTCACTCCAATACGGGTAGCACACTGTAGGAGGGCATGGAAAATAGCCTGTCCTGTTCTGACAGCTCAGTTTTGGAAAGACCTTTGTTTGGAAACCCAGTGCTAACAATAGTTTCATTATTGAACTGATTTGAAGCATAGCTTTGCTGTGTGAAGTTTTTAAAACATGTATATTTTAGCTTGATATCTTTTAGTTTTTGGCGTTTTTTGGGGGGGGGGGTGGGGGGGGTTGCTTTTTCACATTTTTTTTTTGTACACCACTCTGAGGTCTTTGGATCATAGATGGGATTAAAATATGTTAATAAATACATTTTAATAAATAAATTAAATAAGGTAGCATTGGGGGAATTCTGGGATCAGATCCTGGGATATAGGGCAATGTAGATCCAGCCTTAGGGCCCATCTACACAGCCATATAAACCAGAATATCAAGGCGGACAATCCACAAATCTGCTTTGAACTGGATTATCTGAGTTCACACTGCCATATAATCCAGTTCATTGTGGATTTTATACAGCACTGTGGAAGGAGCCTTAAACTGCAGGTACTCCCAGATCCAGCTCTGTCATTTGAGGCCCAAGTGGTCTCAACGGCAAGAAGCACCCATTTTCAGCACCAACTCTTACGCAGTCATCCCTCCACATTCACTGGTATTAGAGGCACCAGTTTGCCATAAAAGTAAAACAAACAAAAATAAAAAAGATGAATCTATGGACAACGTCTGCTGAAAGTTGACCATAGAATATCACTGAAAGACCTCTTTAAGAATCTCTAAGTCCAGCATAGCTCTATGGTGAATTTCCATAGAGTTGTGCTGGAGAACCTTCAGATTCCGAGAGAGAACTTTTATATCAAATAGACAAATAATCAAATTCACAAAAATCAAATCCGCAAATGTAGAAGGCCAACTGTACCTACAAGAACAGACATTAACAATATTGTGAATGCAGAATGAATAGCATCTCTTCTTTTATAATTTGCATTTTTCAGGACAATACACAGCATGTTTGTCATGGATAACCTTTGCCACAGCTCACAGATAAAGAAATTAGAGGTGACTCTGAGAAGCTACTTAAGTGCTTGTCTTTTCCCCATGCAGTCTAGCTGCAATCACCCATGCATTGGTAACCTCTTGCCTGGATATGCTATATAGAGTTTAGTGCAGAAATTAGGAGATTTTGTGCAGAATACAGTAATAAAAGCGATCACTGATTAGATACTTTGAACACATTACCCCAGCATGGTTTCAGTTGTAGATGTCTTGCTTGCCAGTAAATTTCTCTGGGTGGCATTACCTATAATGAGTTCCAAAGTCGGGGGGCCAAAGGAGAAGGCTCTCTCCCATGGGCGGCTCAACCATTACGCAAAGTAAGCATTCGCAGTATAGTTGTATTTGCCCAGGGGCGCTCTTGAGGCGCTCTTGGGGGAAAATAGACCTTGACATATGCGAGTTGTAGTTACTGGGATGTATAGTTCACCTACAATCAAAGAACATTCTGAACTCCACCAATGATGGAATTGAACAAAATATGGCACACAGAACTCCCACGATGATCAGAAAATATATATCAATGATTAGTTGGGGGGGGGCACCAAAATACTGTTTGCTTGCCGTTTAATATTGCCTAGGGCCGCCTCTGCTCTCTCCCTTGTACCCACAAGATGAGCCTGTGAAACTGGCAGGGGCGAAAGGAGGGCCTCCCCCGAAGATTGAAGAGCTTGGGCTGGTTCATGGAGGGATATATGGTCACGAAGGTAGGCGGGTCCCAAACCGTTTAGGTCTTTATAGGTGAGAACCTGTACCTTGAATTGGGACCGGAAAATGAATGGCAGCCAATGAAGTTCTTTAAACAGGGGGATTGACTGCTCCCTGTAAGTTGCCCCAGTTATTAATCTGGCTGCCGAGCGTTGGACAAGTTGTAATTTCCAGGCCGTCTTCAAAGGTAGCCCCACGAAAAGTGCATTGCAGTAATCCAGTCTAGAGGTAACTAAGGCATGGACCACCATAGTTACAAACAGTGTTGTGAAGGCTGATGTGGCCCCCGATGAAAAGGGGTTTGACACCCCTGCTCTAACAGGGGTCCCAGCAAGGTGTCATATCACTCCAATCTTGCAGCAACTGCACTGGTTGCCGATTGAGCACCAGATTACTTTCAAAGTGCTGATTCTTACCTTTAAGGCCTTGTATGGCCTGGGCCCGGAGTACCTGAGGGACCGCCTCACCCCCTACCAACCCCCGAGATCACTCCGTTCAGACAATCAGAATCTCCTTGAAGTTCCCAATTTTAGGATCTTCCACCTGATGTCTACTAGGCGTAGAGCATTCACGGTGGTGGCTCCTTACCTGTGGAATGCCTTGTCAGCAGAAACACGAGCTCTCCGAGACTTACTATATTTTCATAGAGCTTGTAAAACTTATTTATTTAGGCTGGCATTTGAATCTTGCTGATTGAAAATTTTCTTTGATTTTAAATGTAATGTATCGCATATGCATATTGTAAACCGCTCCGAGCCTTCGGGGAGTGGCGGTATATAAAATTGATTAATAAATAAATAAAATAAATAAACAGATATGATTAATATATTTCTGTCTTAATCTGCATGCCAGATCTTCCTTGAGAAAGTTGGATAGTGGTTCACAGCCTGGATTTGTTATGCTTCCAGTTCAGGGCACTCTTGACAAAGCTAGAGATACTGATCTGAACTTAGACAATGGTGTTGTTTGTTGGCTTATGTAATTTTTGTTCCAAGTCAATGGCGTTGAGATTTTAAAAGAATGGTACTCTTTTACCAAGAATAAACAATTAGCAAATCTGGTCTTAAGACTGATTATTCATATGTTATGCTCTTTCTTGTGACAGGTTGCTGAATTCCATAAAGCCTGGATTGGTCAAGAAGATCAATAGATTGCCGACTCCCATTGCAGGACTGGTGAGTATCTGAGATGTTTCAACTGTGTTGTTTACATCCTGGTTAACACTGGAAAGAGTGTTCGTAACATCTGTTCCAACAAGGTTATGTGAGTAAATCTCTATTATTAAACCTGGGCAGCATCAGTGAAATCTATACTGATGTTCTTGTATCTCTCAGGAGAAATTCCAATTAGAGCTGTCACCTGGCCAATTTTAAATTGGCCTGAGCTTTTTATATCATGCAGACAGATTTTTTTTCTACAGCAAGATAATGTGCGTGTGTGTTAAAATCTGTGCTTTAATAAAGGTGATGAATGTAAAAACAGGGATTTTTGTAAAGAAGAAATATATAAGTTTCTCTCTCTCTTAGAAACCATGGACTCTAATTCTGCTCTTCATTTAGTTTAGTTTAGCAGAAACACTTGGGCGTAATGAAAGCTCCTCTGTTCAATATGTTGGAGGGATTCTGGAATATTCTTCCTTCTAGTCACATTCGTTTTTTTCACAAAATTTTCAAGATTCTTGGGTGTTGCTGCAAAAAGCTCTGCTGTAACATTCCAGAATTATTTCATCTTCTTAATTAGAATTTGATGACATTTAAGAGCCAATTAATTCTTTCAAAGTATATACTCTTTCAAAGAATATTTGAAATATCGCATCATTTTGAAATATCCCATCACCTCAACTGCTAAGGAACTAAATTATGTTGAGGGGAAAAGATTTGTCTTATAGACAAGATGTGTAAAATGTATTGTCGAAGGCTTTCATGGCCGGAATCACTAGGTTGTTGTAGGTTTTTTCGGGCTATATGGCCATGTTCTAGAGGCATTCTCTCCTGACATTTCGCCTGCATCTATGGCAAGCATCCTCAGAGGTAGTGAGGTCTGTTGGAAGTAGGAAAATGAGTTTATATATCTGTGGAATGACCAGGGTGGGACAAAGGACTCTTGTCTGCTGGAGTTAGGTGTGAATGTTTCAACTGACCACCTGATTAGCATTTGATGGCCTGGCAGTGCCTGGGGCAATCTTTTGTTGTCCCACCCTGGTCATTCCAAATATATCTACCATAATGTATTTTAATAGTGTCTAGATCTAAGGAAGTAATGCTACCCCTCTATTCTGCTTTGGTTAGACCACATCTGGAATATTGTGTCCAATTCTGGGCACCACAATTCAAGAGAGATATTGACAAGCTGGAATGTGTCCAGAGGAGGGCGACTAAAATGATCAAGGGTCTGGAGAACAAGCCCTATGAGGAGCGGCTTGGGGAGCTGGCATGTTTAGCCTGAAGAAGAGAAGGCTGAGAGGAGATATGATAGCCATGTATAAATATGTGAGAGGAAGCCACAAGGGAGGAGGGAGCAAGCTTGTTTTCTGCTTCCTTGGAGACTAGGACGCGGAACAATGGCTTCAAACTACAAGAGAGGAGATTCCATCTGAACATTAGGAAGAACTTCCTGACTGTGAGAGCCGTTCAGCAGTGGAACTCTCTGCCCGGAGTGTGGTGGAGGCTCCTTCTTTGGAAGCTTTTAAGCAGAGGCTGGATGGCCATTTGTCAGGGGTGATTTGAATGCAATATTCCTGATTCTTGGCAGGGGGTTGGACTGGATGGCCCATGAGGTCTCTTCCAACTCTTTGATTCTATGATTCTATGATTCTAATACATTATGTTCAGTGTTATTTTTAAATGAGGGATTTTTTTTTGTTATAGCTCCCATAACCTCAATGTCACCATGAGCTTATAGTCCAAAAACAAACAAAATGTTTCAAAGTGCTTCATTGGAGTAGCCGAGGCTATGTCCTGTTTTCTAATAAATGTTAATTAAAAACTGGATTTAACATTTTAATGACTTCTTCATATATTCATGCACTTAACTTTTCACTGTATATTTTAGCTGTTATTCATTTAAATGAGTGCCCTTTCCCTGCAGAAGAAGATTTAAAATAAAAGCCAGGGAATTATATTTCTTACATGATTAACTATAGCATGATCAAACTTTTTAAACAGAGGGCCAGGTCACAGTCCCTCAATCTGTTGGAGGGCCGGATTATAATTTGAAAAAAACATGAATGAATTCCTGTGAACACTACACATATCTTATTTGTAGTGCAAAAACCACATAAAAACAATACAATAATTAAAATGAAGAACAATTTTAACAAATATAAACTTATTAGTATTTCAATGGGAAGTGTGGGCCTACTTTTGGCTGATGAGATAGGATTGTTGTTGTTGTTGTTGTTGTGTTTTCAAGTCATTTCAGACTTAGGTTGACCCTGAGCGAGGGCCGGGTAAATGACCTTGGAGGGCCGCATCCGGCCCCCGGGCCTTAGTTTGAGGACCCCTGATGCACCTCACACAGATACACTAAACAGATGGGATGGGAGGTCGCCTCTTCGCCTTTCTTCTTAATATCAACTAGGGGTATGCAAAATAGCACAGAATCCATTTTGTCTTCGTTCTGAATTATGAATCTGAATGGCACCCCTCCTAATCTCCTGGAATATTCCCAAAAACAGAATGGATTTGCACACTCCTAAAAGAGAGTTAGAGATGCATCAACATTTGAGGTGGAGCCAGTGGACATAGTTTCCATTTCTCACTCCAAGTGTTAATTTTATTTATAAAGCAGAGGAGCCCTGTATATGTCTATGAAAGAAAAATCTGCAGGTTTATGCAGACATTGATATCACAACCCAACATTTAAAAAATCTTGGTGTCTTTTGTTTTTAGGCCTGTGCCTAGAGGTTATTTGGGGTGTTGATGCAGAAAATTGAATTGGATAGACTTCATTAATAATAATAATAATAATAATAATAATAATAATAATAATAATGAGGATGCTTGCCATAGATGCAGGCGAAACGTCAGGAGAAATGCCTCTAGAACATGGCCATATAGCCCGAAAAAACCTACAAGAACTGAGTGATTCCAGCCATGAAAGCCTTCGACAATACAATAATAATAATAATAACACTTTATTTGTACCCCGCTACCATCTCCCCAAGGGACTCGGTGCGGCTTACATGAGGCCGAGCCCAAATACAACAATACAAACTGTAGTTTCTTAGATATGGTCATCATGGTTTTCTGTGGGTGTGCAGATAGAGTAGTATAAGTCATATGTTCTTTATCCCAAAAACTACAGCTGATGGGGGGGGGGGGGGGTGCCATTCTTGGAATCAGCAGGTCAAATATATCCCAAAATGGTATAACATTTGCGGCACCAAATTGTCTGTTTACCAGTGGAATCTATCCAGCCCCTCCTCCCTCGGCAGCCAATTTCATCTCTTCTGCTTAGATTTACTTTTCCGTTTTAAGCCCAGCTGGAGAAATGTACTTGGGTGAACACATGTGGGGGACAAAGGTTCAGCCCCACTCTTCCTCTAATTTAGTTGTTTCCCACTACAGTTTTTGCAGAAAGTCCGCTTTCTAATATGTCAAGTTGTCCTCCATCATGCCTTGTTTGGGCTCAAGTGTTTGGAAATTGTAATGATAGTGAGAGCATAGAATCTTGGAGGCTAATTGTATGCTAACTACTAGATAAATATTCCTAGGAAGAAGAAATTGAGCTTCTTGGCTGCTACTGATGTAGTAAAAATATTAACTGAGTAGGAGTTGGAAGTGCATGATTTCCTCAGCTCTTGCAATTGTATGTTGTATGCCTGGGGAGATAACAAACCATGTATTAACAGCTGTGCTTCTCTCTAGCTTAGCTGCCTTATACACCTGTGAGACATGTCTTTCTTTATCTAGCAGAAGATCGTGTTTATTATATAATCTACAGTTGGCTTGGTCCCCCTGTTACTCCCTTTTTTTCAGTGTGATAGAGGCATATTTTCGGATTTGCCAGGAAAAGTCCAAGGGGTTCAGCATCAGATAAACACCGGTGATGCCACTCCTATAATCTCTCCACCTTACAGGGTTACTGGAAGAATTAATGAGTGTATTGAGAAAGAAATTAGAGAAATGTTGGATCTAGGCATTATTGTTCCTTCGGTTAGCTCTTGGGCTTCACCTATAGTGTTAGTGCAGAAGCCAGATAAAACAGTTAGGTTTTGTGTAGACTATAGAAAGTTAAATAAAGTAACCCAAACCGACACATATCCTATGCCACGTTTGGACGATCTACTAGAAAGGATGGGGAAGGCCAACTTTATTAGTAGCATCGATCTAACTAAGGGATTTTGGCAAGTGCCAATGGCACCACAGGATCGACACAAAACCGCTTTTCGGACCCAAAGTCGATTGTATGAGTTCTGTGTCCTTCCTTTCGGACTTAAAAATAGCCCAGCCACATTTCAAAGATTAGTGGACAATGTTTTAAGTGGACTGGGGTCTTTCTGTGTGGCCTATATTGATGATATAGGGATTTTTAGCGAGTCTTGGGAAAGTCACCTCGAACATCTGGATTTGGTTCTAAACAGGTTGAGAGAAGCAGGATTAACTGTTAAAGCTTCTAAATGTAGGATAGGGTACAATGTTACCAAGTATTTAGGACATTTAGTGGGAGGAGGTCATATTCGACCTGACCCTACTAAAGTGGCAGTTATTCACCAGTGGCCAGTGCCCAAAACGAAAAAACAGGTTAGGGCATTCCTTGGATTGGCTGGATACTATCGTAAATTCATTCCATCTTTTAGTGATTTGGCAGTCCCTCTTTCGGACTTACAAAAAAGAAGAACCCGAACCAGGTAATTTGGACTCCAAATTGTCAAACTGCCATGGATAAATTGAAGGAATCCATTACTTCAGATTCCGTCCTAATGGCACCAGATTTTGACAAGCCTTTCATGTTAACGTGTGATGCCTCAGATACTGGGCTAGGAGCTGTCCTAAGCCAACTCGATATAGAAGGAGAAGACAGACCCATATTGTTTTTAAGTAAAAAATGGCATTCTAACGAGTATAGTATGTCAACTATTGAAAAGGAATGCTATGCCATTATCTGGTCAGTTAAGAAACTTAAACCGTACTTATGGGGTAGGAAGTTTATCTTACAAACAGACCACGCTCCA